TGTGCCAGTCCTTGGCTTGAACTTACGCCCTGGCTGCTGTCCCTGAACTTTTTTTTTTTTTTTTTTAGCTTTCTACCACTTAAGCCATAGTTCCACTTCTGACTTTTTAGTGATTAATTGGAGATATGTCTCATAGACTTTCCTGCTCAGGCTGGCTTTGAACTATGATCCTCAAACCTCAGCCTCCTGAGTAGCTATGATTGCAGGCATGAGTCACCAGCACCTGGCTGTAATCTATTTCTTGGGCTGGAGTTGTAGCCCAATGGCAGAACGCTTGCATAGCACTCACAAAGCCCTGGATTTGATTGCAGTACTGTTTTTTTTCTTTCTTTTCTTTTTTTCTTTCTCCTTCCTTTTTTTTTTAAGTTTCTCTGTCCCCGAAGTGCCTGTGTACATCTGTAGTGTAATTAATTCTCTTTTTTCCATGAGTCTTTGGGTATACTTAGTGTCCTGCAGTCTAGCATATAGGAAGTTCAGATTTTTTGGGGGTCAGTTAAGGGGCTTGAACTCTGGGCCTGGGCGTTGTCCTTGAGCTCTTCAGTTTCAAGGTGAGCACTGGACCACTTGAGCCACAGCACCACTTCCTAGGAAGTTCAGATTTATTTATACTTCAAAGTTTTTTCTGAGACGTTCACTTTAAACTTCCCTTCTCCTTTTCCCCGGCGAAACAGGCCGCCTACCAAATAGCCAGCTAGAGTGAGGCGAAGGGAATGTTGTAATGTCGCGTAGCTGCTGTAGGGATCTCTCTCCAAGAGAAAATCGTTCCATTAGGAGTTCGAACTGTTGATAGAGCGCTGGCGCTGGCGCAGCAGGCCACGCCCGTACGTCCTGAGGAACGTCCCGCCGCATAGATCCGCCCCGCCCTCGGCCAATCAGAGAGCGCCTTATGGAAGTATTTAAGGAGGAGAGAAAAACGCCTCTAGGTGGTGAGGCGGCGCAAGATGGCTGCAGCGTGCCGGAGCGTGAAGGTAACTCTGCTCTAGGCATTTAACGGTTACTCTGCTATGTGGGCTGGGTGGCTGCGAGGTGGAATCCTCGTAGGAGCGAACGAGCTGGAAGTTCTCGGCCCTAAAAGAATCATGCTTAACTAAACCCAGTATTGCAGCTCAGTAAGAGAGAACGAATCCTCCGCTAAATATGAGTGGGATCAGTGGAATAGGCTGTCGGGGGATGAGGTCCGCCCGGAGGTCTTGTCCCTGAATACCGGGAACTTAGTTAGGTCTCCACGCCCCCTTTCCCGCCGAAGTCGGGAATGGGCTGGTGAAAGGGTGTGGGTGGTCTGGAAAGTGTAGGGGCTGACTGTGCCGCTTTTCACAGGGCTTGGTTGCTATCATAACCGGAGGAGCCTCTGGCCTTGGCCTGGCCACGGCCGAGCGATTGGTGAAACAGGGGGCCACTGCTGTGCTTCTTGACTTGTCCGACTCGGATGGTGAGGCCCAGGCCAAGAAATTAGGAAAGGGCTGTGTGTTTGCCCCAGCCGATGTAAGTAGGGTCACCTGTTCTTTCCCAGCGTGTGCATAATAAGGTCACCACCGCCCTACCTGGCATCCCGTGAACTCCTTGTCCCTTTTGGCTTGAGTCTTTAGTACTTTGGGAGCACCTGCATAAGGACTCTCCAGAGTTGACATTCACACTAGAGATGAGGATTAGATATACTAGAATCACTTGGAGAAGGGATACATTTTGTTCTGCAATTTTATGTTTATAGAATTGAAAAATAATCCTTGATCAAATCTTAGTACATAAGAATTTTCTCCCCAGATATAGTTACACTTTATTTGTGAAAATGTTCAACTATTTTATTGGTCTGTAAAAGAACCATCATCTGGGTAAAAAATGAATTCTATAAAGAATATTCTACACTTGGAAAAATTATATATATATATATATATATTATTTTTTTTTGTCAGTTGTCGGGCCTGAACTCTGGCCTGGGTGCTGTCCCTCAGCTCTTCAGCTCAAGTCTAGCACTCTACCACTTGAGCCACAGCACCACTTCAGCTTTTTCTGCTTATGTGGTGCTGAGGAATTAAACCCAGGGCATCATGCATGCAAGACAAGCACTCTACCACAAAGCCACCTTCCCAGTCTGTTTTTTTTTTTTTTAGCTACATTAAGCCTGGTGCCGTGGTTCATACCTGTAAGCTTAGCCACTCAGAAGGTTCAAATCTGAGCATGAAGGTTTGAAGCCAACCTGGACAGGAGAGTCTGTAAGACTAATCTCCACTTAACCACCAAAAATGCCTGAAGTGGAACTGTGGTTCAAGCAGTAGAGCACCAGCTTTGGGTGGAAAAGAGCTAAGGAACAGCACTGAGTTAAAGCCCCAGTACCAGCACAAAATAAAAGGGTAGTTTATGTTCATATTGAACATTCTCAAAACAGGGCTGTATTAATGCTCATACACAGCAATTAAGAATTGCTAAGGATATGTGAACTTATCAAAACAGTATATAGATTTGAAAAGTTTTGCAATACTTCTCTACAGTACTTAACATTTTTACTTTGACCTCACTCTCAGACTTTACCAGATCTTTTTATTGGCTCTTTCTTTGCTCACAATTCTAACCCCATCCAATTGCCTTCCTCTCTCCCAGGTTAAGTGGTGTGTATGCTGGGAAATGATTTTTTTTTCTCCATTTCTCCCCTTTGAAGGTAACCTCTGAGAAGGACGTTCAAGCAGCTCTGAATCTAGCAAAAGAAAAGTTTGGCCGTGTAGATGTGGCGGTCAACTGTGCAGGTATTGCAGTGGCCATTAAGACATACAATGCAAAGAAGAACATGGCCCATACTTTGGAGGACTTCCAGCGAGTTCTTAATGTAAGGCCTTAGAGGTTCTCCAGGGGTAAGAATAAGAAGTGTCTGGTACACCTATGTATAAGAAGTTTAGCTCGGGGCTGGGAAGGTGGCTCAGTGGTAGAGCGCTTGCCTTGCATGCCTGAGGCTCTGGGTTCGATTCCTCAGCACCACATAAGCGAAAGGAAAAAAGCTGGAAGTGGCACTGTGGCTCAAGTGGTAGAGCACTAGCCTTGAGCTGAAGAGCTGAGGGACAGCACCCAGGCCCAGAGTTCAGGCCCCACGACTGGACCCCCCCTCCCAAAAAAAGAAAGAAATTTAGCTGGAATCTGGTAAATCACAGCTGTTAGCTGATCAGAAGATTGAGATCTGAGGATCATAGTTGGAAGCCAGTCCCAGGCAGACAAAGTCAAAACACTCTTATCTCCAATTAAGCAGCAAAAAGCTAGAAGTAGAGTTTTGGTTCAAGTGGCAGAGAGCCAGCTTTGAGCGGAAAAGCTAAGCAGGACACGAGTACCTGAGTTTAGGCCCTAGTATGGGCATAAAGGGGGAGAAAAAAGGTTGTCTTTCAGATTCTGTACATATCTTTCCTCACCCTCCAGGTGAATCTCGTAGGCACCTTCAATGTGATCCGCTTGGCTGCTAGTGAGATGGGCCAGAATGAAGCAGACCAAGGAGGCGAACGTGGGGTTATCATCAACACTGCCAGTGTGGCTGCCTTTGAGGGTCAGGTACGTGGGCAGGGCTTGTATCTCCTCGGAGACTTGTTGGGGCCCTTCCCAACTATGACCTTGTCTCTCCCAGGTTGGACAAGCTGCATATTCTGCATCCAAGGGGGGCATAGTGAGCATGACACTGCCCATTGCTCGGGATCTGGCTCCTGTTGGCATCCGAGTTATGACCATTGCTCCAGGTAGGCATTTGCTCTCTTCCTGACACACATACATAGTTGGGAGGGGAAGGTATTCACCACCTAAGCAACAGCAGTCTTATATCTCTGGGCCACAGGGAAATACTAAGAAGTAGAGAGCTAAGGTGAGGAAGAATTAAGTAAATATATTAAACAAGGGTCTGGCTGGGTGCTGGTTGCTCAAATTTATAATCCTAGCTATGTAGGAGGCTGAGATCTGTGATCTTGAAGCCAGCCTGGGAGGAAAAGTCTGTGAGACTCTTACCTCCAATAAACTACTGAAAAAGCCAGAAGTAGAGCTGTGGCTCAGTGGTGGAATGCCAGTCTTGAGCAAAAGCAGCTCAGAGACAGCACCCAGGCCCTGAGTTCAAGCTCCAGGACTAGCACAAAACAAAAAAACCAAGGGTGGGTCTTTGACTCTGGCTGTCTTGTCTAGGTTTGTTTGGCACCCCACTGCTGGCCACCCTTCCAGAGAAGGTGCGCAACTTCTTGGGCAGCCAAGTACCCTTTCCCAGCCGACTTGGGGACCCTGCTGAGTATGCTCATCTGGTACAGACCATAATCGAGAACCCATTCCTCAATGGAGAGGTCATCCGACTGGATGGGGCTATTCGCATGCAGCCATGAAGGGAGCAGGAAGGGAAACACAGGCTTTCACTTTCCCCTGAAGTTCTATACAGCTTGGAAGAAGCCTGATAACCATTTTGTAACTGGCCACCAGCCACCTTCTGTGCCTAATAAATTCTTTTTCACATGATGTGAGCAGTGCTATGTGCTGGGGGAACTGACCTGGGGAAGAAAAATAAATGCTCTGACAGGGTCGGATGCTCACTGCCTAAGGATGGGGTGGGAAAGACAGTACCTCATACTTTACAAAAAGTATCCTGTTAAGCTGGGCTCTGGGGGCTCTCCCCCCTGCAATCTTAGCTATTCAGGAAACTGAGATCTGAAGATCATGGTTCTAAGCCAGCCTAGGCAGGAAAATCTGTGAGACTCTTATCTCTACTTAACCAGTAAAAAGCCAGAAATGGAGCTGTGGCTCAAGTAGTAGAGTGCCAGCCTTGGGCACAAAAGCTAAGGGCTAGCACTCCAGGCCTGAGTTCAATCCCCATACTGCCACACACAAAAACAGCATCCCGTTAACAACACATGGCCTTGATTTTTGGTGAATAACTTTATTACCTAGGGTAGAAGGTGGGGGTATTGGCTTATTTCTCTCTCCCATTGGGATATGGATTGAAGTGATTTATGCAGCATTTTTCTTTTCGACTCCTAACCGTCACCAAATGTGGTAGGAAAAAGGGAGAGAGGACCATCTTGAGCTCAGCGGCTGCTGCTGTTGAACTGCATGTAATATTGGGCTGTTGGTTGACTGGCATATATCATTGAATTCAAATGATTTTGGCTGTGAAAGAAGTTCAAAAATAAGTTCAGCTCATGTGCTTTCCCTCTCTCCCTGATCCTCAAAGTCTCACTCCACCCTCCCTTAACTTCATGGCCCATTGCTACCCCTTAGAACTCACTGAGTACTTTGCTCGCTGGCCAGCTGCTGATTAAAGGAACCTAGTCCTCGTCGAAATTCGGCACATAATTCCCTCTCCTGCTCTTCGAGCTCCTGTGCTGCCTGTGCCAAATGTATTCTTTGGTTGTCCCATTCATTAGTCAGTTGTTTTTCAGCCTCACGCTGCACCTCCTTCTCATAGGATTGAATCCTTTGTGTTTTCCTGATAGCAGCTCGCTGCTCTGGAGTCATACCTTTCCAGCAATAGGGCAGGACCCGGTTGGGATTCGTAGGATGTTGAGCCACCTGAGGGTTCTCAGTCAGCATATCACTGGTGACTTGATTCTGGATCTCCATTCGGTTGGTTTCCTGTTGGTACCATTGCTCACGGTGCTGCCGATCTGCTATCTTAGTTGCCTGGTGAGAACCCCAAATGTCAGTATTGGGGTGCCCAACTTCAGGGAACTGTCAGTCACAGAGGTGGGCAAAACTTGTTTCTACTCCATCTCAGAGGGAAGGAAGGCCCCTGTATAGTCTTTTATTGACCCTAAGGGTGGGGGTTAGGAAGCTTAGAATGAGGAAATTTCTCTGCATCTAGGAAGGCAGCTTGTTAGACAAGAGGCTAGGCATGAAAGGGTCATATTCTGTTCTCATGTCATCCTTGGTCTGGAGGTAGGGAGAGGCTACTTGTGCCCTAAGGAGGAATTTAAGTAGAGGGAGAGTCCTCAGGCAAATGAGAACGTTAGTGTTGCTTTGAGAATTGTGAAGGGGGGGGCTGGGAAGGTGGCTCAGTGGTAGAGCACTTGCCTGCATGCATGAGGCCCTGGGTTCAATTCCTCAGCACCACATAAGCAAAAAGAAAAAAGCCGGAAGTGGCGCTGTGGCTCAAGTGGTAGAACGCTAGCCTTGAGCTGAAGAGCTGAGGGACAGCGTCCAGGCCCAGATTTCAGGCCCCACGACTGGACCCAAAAAAAAAAAACCCAACAACAACAACAAAAAAGAGAATTGTGAAGGGAAAGATGTGGCTAAGATTCCCCAGGACTTTGGTTAGAGAATTGGGGAGGGGCCCAGTGCACTGGCTGATTCAGGCCGTACCTGGGCTTTGTTGGCATTAGCTGTGGCAGTCATAAGGGCCACACGATAGGACTCCTCCAGTTTGGCCATATGAGCAGCCTGCTTGTCCATGGCCAGACGAAGCTGGTCGCTGAGCATATCTACACAGAAAAATATGGTCACAGCACCATACTGGCTAACTACATTCCTGGTATATTCCTACAGCTATTTATTCAACAAGTTTTGTGTTCTGGTATAAATGTTTAGGAGAAGACTAGTGATAGCCAACCTTCAGAAATTTCAGACAAAATAAAGCTTTGACTTACAAGCTGTGTGACCTTGAGTAAATCATTTCATCTTTTTGACCCTTAGTCTAATGGCCATGTGTTAGGTTCTTAGGACACCATGGAAGCAGATCTTGTATTTAGAGAGCCCTCTCTCTAGTGGGGGAAACAGGTCAAACAATCAGATTACAGTCTAATAAGGACAATAGCAGACATGTACACAAAGGCATTATTATGAAGGCTCCCAGGACTGGGTACATGCTTCGAATGTGTGAAGCTCTGGGTTCAATCCCTAGCATCAAAACAAAACACAAAAACTTTGGATAGTGACTTTGGATAGTAGAAGGCTTCCAAGAGATGATATATTTTTTTCTTTTTCCCTTTTTTTTTGCCAGTCACTACCAGAGCTTGAACTCAGGCCTTGCCCTCTCTTGGATTGCTTGCTCACAGAAGGCACTTTGCCATTTTTTTTTTTTTTGTCGGTTGTGGGGCGTGAACTCTGGGCCTGGGCGCTGTCCTCTAGCTCTTCAGCTCTAGACCGGTGCTCTACCACTTGAGCCTCAGCCCCACTTCTGGCTTTTTCTGCTTATGTGTTGCTGAGGAATCGAACCGAGGGCCTCATGCATGCAAGGCAAGCACTCCACCGCTGAGCCACCTTCCCAGCACCCACTTTGCCATTTGAGTCACCCTGGCAGCCCAGTTTTTGCTGGTTAATTGAAGATAGAGTCTCATGGACTTTTCTTTTTTTTTTTTTTTTGTCGGTCGTGGGGCTTGAACTCTGGGCCTGGGCGCTGTCCCTCAGCTCTTCAGCTCAAGGCGAGCACTCTACCACTTGAGCTATAGCGCCACTTCTGGTTTTCTGGTCGTTTATTGGAGATAGGAGTCTCACGGTCTCTCCTGCCCGGGCTGGCTTTGAACCGCGATCCTCAGATCTCAGCCTCCTGAGTAGCTAGGATTACAGGCGTGAGCCACCAGCGCCCGGCTTCTCATGGACTTTTCTGCTTGAGCTGGCTTCCAGCTGCTAGATTCCAGATCTTAGCTAGGATTATAAGCATGAGCACAGGTGCCCAGCTTAGAAGGTAATCTTGAAGTAGATTTTGTGTACAGGCAAAAAGAGCAAATAACAGGCAGAGGGCATAGCACTAGCAAAGGTACTAACATTTCATTCCATTCTAGTCACACATTGATCCTCCTGTTTGAGGGCCTGACATTGTGATGATGTGAAAGGTGAACAGTTTCAATAGATAAGCTATAGTCCTTAGCCTTAAAGGGCTTTCTCTAATGAAATAGAAGCGTGTGGCCATCAAAAATATCATAATAGTGCCGGGCGCTAGTGGCTCACTCCTCTAGTTACTCAGGAGGCTGAGGTTTGAGGATTACGGTTCAAAGCTAGCCCGGGCAGGAAAGACCATGAGACTTTTATCTCCAATTAAACTGGAAGTGGTGCTGTGGTTCAAGTGGTAGAGCGCTCACCTCAAGCTGAAGAGCTCAGGGATAGCACCCAGGCCCAGAGTTCAAGCCCCATGACCAACAAAAAATAAATAAAAAAATCATAGTAGGGATGGGAAGGTGGCTTAGTGGTAGAGTGCTTGCTTAGCATGCATGAAACCCTGGGTTTGATTCCTCAAGTACCATAAACAGAAAAAGCCAGAAGTGGCACATTGGCTCAAGTGGTAGAGTGCTAGCCTTGAGTGAAAGAAGCTCAGAGACAGTACCCAGGCCCTGAGTTCAAGTCCCAGGACTGGCAAAAAAAATATAATAGTAGCTCTTCTATGCGACACATATTATAATTCCCATTTTATTTTTTTATAATTCCCATTTTAAAGATGGAGAGACTGAACTGGATGTGGTGTACATGTCTGTAATTCCAGCACTCAAAGGTTTGAGGCAGAAGGATAACAAATTGAAGGCTATGTAGCAGAAGGCTAGCCTGTGCTACATAGCAAGATACTGTCTCAATGCTGTGCCCCCCGACCAAAGAAACTGAAGTGCAAAGAGGAACATTCATTTGTCCAAATCAGCTAACAATAGCAAAGCTATTAAGCACATTGTTGTACTCAGGTAATGGAATACCAGGCTGATCATAAATAATCACCACAGCCTAAATCTCTCATCATCAGTCCTATGGGCAACCACCTTCCCACACAGTTCGGCTCTAGGTGAGCTCCCTACTAAGTCTCTGAGTCCAGGAAACTTTCTGCTTACCCACACGAGCCTCCTCAGCTCTGATTCGCTCTTGATCTTGCAGCTGCTTATCCAGTTCATTTTTGAGGTGTTCCTGATGTGCTCTCAGGCATGAGGCTCTATTCATGTTATCCCCAAAGTAGGGGTGTTGCATATTGGTTTGGCCACAGTTGCGATCATTGCTTTTGAGACAGGCAGATAATTCAAAGGGAGCGCTTGTATTCCAAAGGTTAAACTCATGTGCATAATTATGTTGTTCGGCCTGCTGTTTCTGCTCCCAAAAATTCAGCATTTTCTTGGCCATTTGCTGTGTTCTTTCTGCCTCCTGCCTTTCAATCATCTGGGCCACTAGGTCATTCTGTACCTGCATGGTACCTAGGGGTTATGGGTAGGGGCATGGAGAAGGAATTACTGGAAAGACAGAGCCCTGTAGCATGGCCTCTGTTCTCAAGGACCATTCAGAGGCAGAACTGCCCTATCCCAGCCCACTCAGGTTCTTGGTTTACTGTCTTGTGTTGCCCTATATTTGGGTATTTACCATAAGCAACCTCCTTGCTTTGTTCTCTTGCTTCCCGGAGTCTTCGTTCCTCCACCTGTTGGTTTAAAGCTGCAACATCCACCTGAATCCCAAAGAAAGGTGCTAAGTCAGAGTAGGGGCTCAACAGGGAACTTTGAGTGCTCTAAGAGGAGCTACTTAGATCTTTCTTCTTTGAAAATCCTTTGAAAACTCCCTGGAACCTAAAATCCTCTGAGCAGTTGTAGAACTCCATGTTCTAACTCCTGAAAGTGGCTTGTAAGGGCTGGGAAGTGGCTCTGTGGTAGAGTGCTTCCTTTGCATGCATGAGGCCTTGGGTTCGATTCCTCAGCACCACATAAACAGAAACAGCTGGAAGTGGTGCTGTGGTTCAAGTGGTAGAGCACTCGCCTTGAGCTGAAGAGCTGAGGGAAAGTGCCCAGGCCCAGAGTTCAAGTCCCATGACCGACCAAAAAAAAAAAGTGGCTTGTAAATCTCCATGGCCTAACCTCTTCACTTCCTCTTCCTTCATCTGTTTGTCACCTTTTCCTCTCTCTCTCTCCTCACCCAAGCATTAGGAACTTTGGTTCCCATTCCCTGAACATGCTAGGCTAACTTTAAACCTATAACCTTTGTTCAAGTTACTCTTTTTCCTTGGGACACTTTCCATCCTTCTTTATTCAAACTACAATTCACTGTTCAAGACCAGCTGAGGGCTGGATGCTAGTGGGCTCGCCTATAATCAATCCTAGCTACTCTAGAGAGTGAGGCCAACCCAGGAAGGAAAGTTCATAAGATACATTGTGAATTAACCAGCAAAAAGCCAGAAGTGGTGGAGTTGTGTGTGGCTCAAGTGGTAGAGTGCTCAGCTCAGCTTTGAGGGAAAAACCTAAGGGACAGTGCCCAGGCCCTGAGTTCAACACACACACACACACACACACACACCAGGCCCTGAGTTCAATCCCCAGTACCAGTGTGTACACACACACACACACACACACACTCAGAGCTCAGCACTAGTGGGTCACACTTGTAATTCTAACTATTCAGGAGGCTGAGATCTGAAGATCGTGCTTTGAAGCCAGACTGGGCAGGAAAATCTCATCTCCATTTAACCACCAAAAAAGCTGGAAGTGAAACTGTAGCTGAAGTGGTAGAGCACTAGCCTTGAGCATAAAAACTCAGGAATAGCATCCAGACCCAGAGTTCAAGCCCCGGCCTGGCAGAAAACAAAACAACAACAACAAAAAATCCAGTTGAGCAGGTTCTACTCCCATAATCTTGGACCTATTGTCCACATTATATTGAAGTTTGCTTCTTATCTTGTATTCTGCAAGCTGTTTCACAGCAGAGGCCTGGTCTTAGTTACCTTTGTATCTCCACTGCCCAAGACAGTTCTTGGCACAGGTTTTGAAGAAATACTTGCCATCTGGATTTCTTTCTTCCTTTTTTCCCCCAGTCCTAGGGCTTGAACTCTGGGCCTGGGCAATGTCCCTATGCTACTTTTTTGCTCAAGGCTGGCACTCTACCACTTGTGCCTCAGTGCCACCTCTGACTTTTTCTGTAATTAATTGGAGATAAGAGTCTCAGACTTTCCTGCCTGGGCTAGCTTTGAACTGTGATCTGAGGATCTCAACCTCCTGAGTAGGATTACAGGTGTGGGTCACAGGCACCTGACATCTTTCAAACACAGGGCCTAGAATTGTCCCTTACCTTTTTTAAATTTTTTGTTGATCATGGGGCCTGACTTCTGGGCATGGGTGCTGTCCCTCAGCTCTTCAGCTCAAGGCTAGCTCTCTACTACTTGAGCCAGAGCACTACTTCCGGCTTTTTCTGCTTATGTGGTGCTGAGGAATTGAACCCAGGGCCTCATGAATGCAAGGCAAGCACTCCACTACTGAGCCACCTTCCCAGCCCAGATTTCTCTTTTCTTCTTCCCTCCCCTTCCTTCTGTTCCTTCCCTCCCTCCCTTCCTCCCTCCCTCCTTCCCTTCCCTTTCTTCCTTTATTTTTTCCTTCCTTTCTTCTTTCTTTCTTTTCCTTCTTTCTTTCACTTTTCTTTCTCTTTTTCCTTCCTTCCTTCCCTTTCTTCCCTCCCTTCCTTCCCTCCCTTCCTTCCTTGCCTCCTTCCTTCCTTCCTTCCTCTCTCCCCCTCTCTCTTTCCTTCCTTCCTTCTCTTTTTCTTTCTTCCTTTCTTTCTCTTTTCTTTCTCTTTTTCCTTCCTTCCTTCCTTCTTTCCTTCCCTCCCTCCCTCCCTCCTTCCTTCCTTTGGAAATATGAGTCTCTGATTTGTCTGTTGTGGCTGTCTTCAAACCGAGAGAGATTCTCAGATCCCAGCCTCCTGAGTAGCTAGGATTACAGCATAAACCACTAGCATCTGGCTTCCTGTTTGATTTCTTAAGATATCAATATTTTCTTTTTTAATCATAATTTATTTGAAAATTTTCAAATAAAAAGGACTGGGTAGCCAGGCGCCAGTGGCTCATGTCTGTAATCCTAGCTACCTAGGAAGCTGAGATCTGAGGATCTCGGTTCAAAGCCAGTCTGGGCAGGAAAGTCTGCGAGACTCTTATCTCCAATAAACCACCAGAAAACTGGAAGTGGCACTGTAAAGGACTGGGTGTGTGAGACTCAAATCATAGAGTACCTGCTTAGCAGGCTCAAGGCCATGAGTTCAAACTACAGTGTGACAGAATAAAGAAAAAGCTGTATTCAGAATATTATAAAAGGGGGTGGGGAATACGAAAGAGTATAATCTATATCTCTCATGCTGGAGTTATCTTATTTAGCCTTGTGGAAATATCTTAGGCATATGTAATATTAATTTTTGGGGGGGTAGGAAGATGGTGTCAGTCCTGGGGCTTGAACTCAAGGCCTGGGCATTATCCCCGAACTTGTTTTTACTCAAGGCTAGTGTTCTACCACTAGAGTCACAGCTCCATTTCTGGCCTTTTTCGGGTGGTTAATTGGAGATAAGTGTCTCACAGACATTCCTGTCTGGGCTGGTCTCAAACTGCTATCCTCAGATCAGCCTCCTGAGTAGCTAGGATTACAGGTGTGAGCCACCAGTGCCCAGCTTCGTCCAATTATTCCTTTTGCATTTTTGAACTCCATACTGCCCATTTCTCAAAGATCAGGCCACATGGCTCAGAGCTGACCAGAAAAGAGCCAGCTGTCTCTTCCTCTGTACTGCCACATCCCTCTTCTAAACCCTTTTCCAGGTCTGTGAGTATGTCCTCTCTACTTCCTGTCCAGCCTTTAGGATTGCTTGAGTCAGGGAGAAGGCCTGTAATGAACACTGCTACATTCCTTCCTTAATGTAAGAGTAGGGTGGCTTCCATCCTGTTAAATAGCCCACCATTACCCACTCACCCCTATAGTTCGGTTCCGCACATTGAAAATTCGGCTTTGCCTCTCTCTTTCTCGATTTCTTCGAGCGACGATAGCTGCCACCTCCTTGGGATCCACTGAAAGGTCTACCTTATACATCTGGAATGAGGAGGAGATAGAATGACCCATCAGGGCTGACCTTGACTACATCCCATATCCATTCCTTTTTCCCTACACTATCTCACCAATTAAGACTCCTACTGAAGTCAGAGGAATAACTCATTGGTAGAGCATCTGTCTAGCAAACTTAAAGCCCTGAGTTCAATCCCCATTACTACAAAAGAAAAAAGCAAAGCCGGGCGCTGGTGGCTCACGCCTGTAATCCTAGCTACTCAGGAGGCTGAGATCTGATGATCGCGGTTCAAAGCCAGCCCAGGCAGGAAAGACCATGAGACTCCTATCTCCAATAAACCACCAGAAAACCGGAAGTGGTGCTGTGGCTCAAGTGGTAGAGCGCTAGCCTTGAGCTGAAGAGCTGAGGGACAGCGCCCAGGCCCAGAGTTCAAGCCCCACGACCGACAAAAAAAAAAAAAATGTTTAAATGTTTAAAATGTTTAAGAAAAAAGCAAGTTTTTTTTTTTTTTTGCCAGGCACCAGTGGTTCACCCCAGTAATCCTAGCAAATCAGGAGATGAGATCTAAGGATCAAGTTTCAAAGCTTGACCTGGCAGTAAAGTCCATGAGATTCATACCCAATAAAAATATTAAAACCTGGGCTCTGGTGGCTCATGCCTGTAATCCTAGCTACTCAGGAGGCTGAGATCTGAGGATTGCAGTTCAAAGCCGGCCTGGGCAGGAAAGTCCATGGGACTCATCTCCAATAAACAATACCAAAACTGGAAGTGGTGCTGTGGCTCAAGTGGTAAAGTGTTCACCTTGAGCTGAAGAGCTGAGGGACAGTGCCCAAGCCCAGAGTTCAAGCCCCATGACTGACAAAAACAAAAACAACTCCCGCCTCCCGAAAACCTATTAAAAAAAACAAACGATAGTGGACTTGTATCTTAAGTGGTAGAGCATTAGCCTTGAGCAAAAGCAGCTCAGGGACAGCATCCAGGCCTTGAATTCAACCCCAGTACCAGCATACACACAGAAAAGATTCTTCTAATTTTACTTCCTAATAAAAATTTCCTGGGGCTGGGAAGGTGGCTCAGTGGTAGAGCGCTTGCCTTGCATGCCTGAGGCCCTGAGTTTGATTCCTCAGCACCACATAAACAACAAGAAAAAAGCCGGAAGTGACGCTGTGGCTCGAGTGGTAGGGCACTAGCCTTGAGCTGAAGAGCTGAGGGACAGCGCTCAGGCCCAGAGTTCAGGCCCCACAACCGGACCCCCCAAAAAAATGTCCTATCTGCGTATCTTCTGTCACTACCCTAATTCAGGCATACATAGTCTTAATATCAAGCATATTCCCAGGAGTCTTGCTGACTTCCTTACTCCACTTCTCTCTTCTTTGCCTGGTACTACATGGCATTCCTCAGCTTAAAAACTTTGAGTCTTGGAGGTATGGCTCAAGTGGTAGAGCACCTGCTGAGCAAATGAGAGTGAAGCCCTGAATTCAAACTCCAGTATCAGAAAAAAAGTCATTTTTAGGCACAAAGGGAGTTTGCTTAGAGAGGACAGTTTACTGACTGCAGAGGGAAAGAATGTAGCTACTAGAGCAAAGTGGAAAAAGGCTTAGACAAAAGGGGAGAGAGAGAGACAGATTGACCTGCTACAAGACAAGGAAAGTTAGAGGAGATGACTAGGAGTTTTATGGCAGAGAAGAACTTGATGAACAGGGCAGGACCAGTAGAGGGGAGGGGTGTCTCTGGAGTAGAGATGGAGGAGGGCTTGGGTGAGGGGGACCGTGGACTCCTCTCCGTTTCATTGGAGAATTATTTAAACCAGTAAAATAGTTCTGAATTTAGGCCAATGGTAGCCATTGTTTAGTGAGGCCAGATTTTGGTAGGCAAACAAGCCAGTTTTCTTTGACCGTAAACGAGTCAGCCAGAGAGCCTTAAGATTAGACCATGGGCAAGCCAATGGGGTGTCTATGGGAGACAATTTGGAAATTTGGTAGGACTACTGGACCAGTCCCGCTGCTTCAGGCATCCCCAAGACTTTGGGAAGGCAAACAAATATGAAAGAGGCAGTGACCACCACGTGTTGCTAGTTTCTGTCTAGCAAAGCAACATGTGGTGGTAACCAAAACACCTGGTTGATTGTGTGACTATATCAGACCTGCAAATCCTTAGCTCAGGGCTCTCCTCCTAGGCTCCACTGTGTCGGAGTGTAGGACGAGGCCCGAGCTGCAGCCTGTTTAAATAAAACAGCTGTAGAGTCTGAAAAAAAATCATTTTTAAAGCAAATGGCTCTCTAGTGCTTAGGATAAAGTCTATCTCCCCTTTTGCTAGATTTATAAGGTTCTTTATAATTTGACCCTACTTACCTTTCTCAGCCTCAAAGCCATTGATAATATGGCCATTCTTTTTTTTTTTTTATTGTGAACATACTGTACAGAGGGGTTACAATTACATGGGCAAGATAATGAGTACATTTCCTATCAAGCATTGTAGCCTCCTTTGTTTACCCTTCACATCCCTTCCCAGCCTCCCCCCCCTCCCCCGCCCCAATATGGCCATTCTTTTGTGCTGGGTCTGAGGCTTGAACTTAGGGCCTGGTCACTGTCAATGAGCTTTTTTTTTTTTTCTCTATCACTTGAGCCACAGCTCCACATCTGGCTTTTTAGTGCTGAATTGGAAACAAGAGTCTCACAGACTTTCCTGCCCAGAGTAGGTGCTGACTTCAAACTGTAATTCTCAGACCAGCCTCCTAGTGTCTAGGATTATAGGTGAGAGCCACAAGTGCCAGGTTACATGGCCATTTTTGTTGTTATGCTCCAGTCAATTCCTATTAGTAAGTAAATTTGGCATTACTATTCACCAACTCAGTCAGAAGCATCTTTTAATCCCTACTTTTCCTTCATTCACTCTTCTTTCAAAAATAGCACTGATTATACACATACTGTATATGTGTACATATGTATGTATGTGTATAACTCTCCAAATAACATCTTTTTGGTTTTGCTGATAGTGGAGTTGAAATCAGGGCCTGAGCACTGTCCCTGAGCTTTTTTCCCTCAAGGCTAGAGCTCTACCACTTAATCCATAGCACCACTTCCAACCATTTTTTGGTGCTTAATTGGAAATAAGAGTCTCATAGGCTTTCCCTGGCTAGCTTCAAATCGTAATCCTCAGTTCTCAGCTTCCTGAGTAGCTAGGATCACAGGTGTGAGTCACCAGTGCCTGGTGAAATCTTCTTTTTTCTTTTCTTTGTTGGTTGTGGGGCTTGAACTCTAGGCCTGGGTACTGTCCCTCAGCTCTTCAGCTCAATACTAGTGCTCTACCACTTTGAGCCAGAGTGCCACTTCCTATTTTCTGGTGGTTAATTGGAGATAAGAGTCTCATGGACTTTTCTTGCCCAGGCTTCTTTTTAACTGTGATCCTCAGATCTCAGCCTCCTGAGTAGCTAGGATTACAGGTGTGAGCCACCAGCACCCAGCTATCCTTATTCTTATTTTTTTGTCGGTTGTGGATCCTGAACTCTGGGCCTGGGAGCTGTCCCTCAGCTCTTCAGCTCAAGGCTAGCATTCTACCACTTGAGCCACAGGGCCACTTCTGGCTTTTTCTGTTTATGTGGTGCTGAGGAATCGAACCCATGCTTGCAAAGCAAGGACTGTACTACTGTGCTACCTTCCCAGACCATATTGTTATTTTTGAACTTTATAAACCATTAGGCTGGGGAAAGATAGCTGAGAATGTACTAAAGTACTGTCTTCTCATGTCTGCCATGTAGTAAATCTCCTTTCTCTGCCCTTCACCATGTCTCTTTGTCATATGGGGGTGACCTAACTTGGGACTCCTAGAGCTTGGGCTTGTGGTCTAAAAACCCGGTTTTGACTTTGGCAAGCCAGACAATAAAATTATGCCTTTTACTTACTAGCCACTCACAGCTAGTTGACTGTGGATAGAGAAGAAAGATGGAACCTGCCAGGCTGGGTGCCCTTGGCTCACATCTATGATCATAGCTACTTAAGAGGGTGAGATCTGAGGATCTCAATTCAAAGCCAGCCAGGGCAAGAAAGTCTATGAGACTCTTATTTCCAATTAACAACAAAAGCTGCCAGAAGAAGAGCTGTGGCTCAAGAGTTAGAGTGATAGCCTGGAGCAAAACAAGCTCAGGAACAGTACCCAGTCCCTGAGTTCAAGCCCCAGGACCAGCACAAAAAAGGCAAATTTTTATTGATCATTTTATCTCTTTAACAGTCAGACACAGTAAATAAAAGGATATTACCAGGGCTGGGAAGGTGGCTCAGTGGTAGAGTGCTTGCCTTGCATGCATGAGGCCTTGGGTTCGATTCCTCAGTACCACATAAGCAGAAAAAGCTGGAAGTGGTGCTATGGCTCAGGTGGTAGCCTTGAACTGAAGAGCTGAGGGACAGTGCCCAGACCCAGAGTTCAGGCCCCATGACCGACAAAAAAAGGATATTATCTGGTGGTTTGTGTGTGTATGTGTGTGTGTGCACGCGCGCATGCTTGCTAGTACTCATTTATTTGTATATATGCTGGTACTGGGACTTGAACTAGAACTTGGCTTAGGTGTTGTCCCTGAGATCTTTTTGTTCAAGGCTAGTGCTCTATCACTTTGAGCCACAGCTTCTGCATATGAGAAAAAACATGCACCATTTCTCTCTGAACATGGCTTACCAAATACAACATGATTTGTTCTAGGTCCATTGCTATTGAAGCTTATCTTTCCAAATGTTTGATCATTTTTTCCTTATTCCTACTGTGAAATATCCATTTAGTTCTTTAATTTTTATTTATTTTATTTATTTTTTTTTTGGGTCCTGTCGTGGGGCCTGAACTCTGGGCCTGGGCGCTGTCCCTCAGTTCTTCAGCTCAAGGCTAGCGCTCTACCACTTGAGCCACAGCACCACTTCTGGCTTTTTTTCTTTTTGCTTATATGGTGCTGAGGAATCGAACCCAGGGCCTCAGGCATGCAAGGCAAGCGCTCTACCACTGAGCCATCTTCCCAGCCCCTAATTTTTATTTTTGACAGTCTTGATTTCAGGACCTGGGCACTGTCCCTCAGCTTTTCTTGCTCAAGGCTAGTGTTCTACCACTTGCGCCACAGCTGCACTTATGGCTCTTTTTGTAATTTATTTTAGATGAGTCTCATCAACTTTGCTGCCCAGTATGGCTTTGAACCATTGATTCTCAGCTCTTTGCTTTTTGAGTAGCTAAGATTGCAGATGTGAGCCATAGGTGCCTGGCCCATTTATTTCTTTTGTTCATTTTAGTTGCATTAAAAAATAATAAACACAAAAATTAAACATATTTACATATGCATATACATTGTATAATGTTCAAATAGGTAAACATCTCCTCAAGCATTTATCATTTCCTTTTTTTTTTTTGTCGGTCTTGGGGCCTGAACTCTGGGCCTGGGCGCTGTCCCTCAGCTCTTCAGCTCAAGGCTAGCACTCTATCACTTGAGCCACAGCACCACTTCTGGCTTTTCTGCTTATGTGGTGCTGAGGAATCGAATCCAGGGCCTCATGCATGTAAGGCAAGCACTCTACCATTGAGCCACCTTCCCAGCCCTATTTCTTTATAGTGAAAACATTAAAAATCCTTTCTTCACCAGGTGCCAGAGGCTCATGCCTGTAATCTTATTCAGGAGGCTGAGATCTGAGGATTGTGGTTCAAAGACGAACTGGGCAGGAAAGTCTGTGACAATTATCTCCAATTAACTACCCAAAAAGTTGGAAGTAGAGGTGTAGCTCGAGTGGTAGAGCACTAGCCTTGAACACAAAAGCTCAGGTACAGTGCCCAGGCCCTCAGTTCAAGTCCTAGGACTAGCAAACTTGTACACACATTTTCTTTTTTTTTTAATTTAATTTTATTTTATTTGTGAACGTACTGTACAGAGGGGTTACAATTGCATGGGCAGGATAATGCGTACATTTCTTACCAAGCATTGCA